CAGGATACGTGCAAGTCTACTACTATTTTGTTAACTGACCTCACAGCCCAGAACTGACATTATACAGTCATCAGCTTAGGTTCTGGTGCTCACAGTTCAGAGGAAGAAAGGGATTTTCCTTCTTCCATGAACTGTGCAAAAGGAACATGCACAATTGAGCGCCTTTGCTAACAGATCATACCAGAGACCTTTTGCAAACTCTAAGTAGTCCAGCGCACAGCCTTTAAAAAATTCAGATATATAGTTACTTTATGATTTTCAGAAGTGCGAAAGGAGAATGTTGAAATCAAATTAGTTTTCCAGTAAGGTCCGAGGCCCAACAGCTATAAGCCCTTTGAAAAGTGAGTCAAAGAGGAAGGCAGAAGCTCAGTACACCTGAACTCCTGCAGCAGTCATCGTGAGAACTTAAACCCGAGTCAATTGCCACGCTGTCTGTAGCTCTGTAGCTGACAGAACTGTTAAACTCTAAGGGTTGTGCTCTTTCCTCTAAACATTCCACCATAAGAAAAAATAATGTTCAGATACTTGAAGAGCTGTAAGCCTAAAATGCTGTCTATAAATCCTAACAGATCCTCCCTCTCTTCCAAACAGGTTGAATGTGGAGAAGATGACGGTCAACACAGCATGCAGCTGCTGCATGCCACTTCAGCTTCTTAAGAAGGAATTCCAACTACCATGCCAAGACCCAGATAACCCTGGAAAAAGGCTCACTACAGAAATAATTGTATTTAGTGGCTGTGTTTGTAACTTTGACAGCTGCATACACTAGCCAGACCTCCAGATGGCCTCAGACACTGATTTTTTTTTTTTTTTTTAATTAAACACTGATCACAATTTAATACTTCCACAGTGACTGCTCGTTGCTGGGAGTCTTCTTGTATTGATTACGCACACGGCACGTGATTGCAGTGAGGCTTCCTGAGCAGCTACCTGGAGTGTCAGTGAAGTTCCCTGAGAAATTATTCCTGATCAGGAGGGCAGGTGGGGGGGGTGGGGGCATGGGCAGGCAGGGGAGGAAAAGAAGCATGGGCAGGGAGGGAAGACCACCTCGGAGACTGTCTGGTCTTGCTCAGAGCGATAGCAAACCAGAGGCTAAAAACTGGCCTATGCATTGCGCAACAACAGAAATTTGACTTTCAAATAAAGTAGAAGGAATTGAATTTGCCAATTTATTTCTCATTATTTGACTAATTGTTTTAATTGAAAATAGTCTGTTAGGTCCACTACAGTTGAATGAAGAGCTGTGGAATAGCCTGTTACATCACTGGGAGAAGAGACAACCGAGGTGACCCCTTCCCTTTCCTTGTGCTTGTCATCCATACGCAGCTGCTGTCAGACAGCAAGGTGCTACCTGAACCAAAAGCTCATTGTGAGGTTTCTATGTGCACCCTTAACCCGGTGGGATGTTTCTAGAAACATCGTTAAACACAGACACTCAGTGGCTTTTGGACAAAGAGATTTGCAGGGCATTTCTCCACAAGAAATCAAGGACGGTATGTCTGTGACAGGACACAGGCGGTTCACTCACACGCCGTTTCTACTTGCTGCTAGTAGGGAGGATTCTTTACTACTTTGCTCGCAATTCATTTAAGAAAAAGTTGTATGAATGTACAAAAGCTTATAGTGCTCAGATTTTTTTTTTCTTTTAGCAAGTTTTAGAGAAGTACTAAGAATCTGAAAGCATATATTTAAAGCTTGAGTGAGGTTATTTAGCAGTTCAGATACTCTTCTTTTACAGCGATAACATTTTTACAAGTCCTGCCTGTGTGTAATACAGGTGCATGCTTCATAGCCTGTTAGTCTAGTTTACTGCAGCATGTACTGTTAATCTACCTACTGTTCTTAAACACTATAAGGAAGAAAGATTTTACACCAAGGGGTTTTTGTGTGGTTTGCTTTTTTTTAACAGCAGAGTATTTGTAACATGTGACCAAACACAGAAACAAAAAAAAGCCATAAACAAACTCACTGAGGGAGTAGAAATCTGCAGGCCAGGTAAGACTCACCTGAGCACAGCCCATCAGTAGTTTGCAGAAAAGAATTTACCATTACACATCAATTGTTGTTCCATAACAGCCATTCCATGCAAGTATTCTTTACACTTTCATGCCTCCAGACAAAAAAGGACAGTTTGATTACTGTTCTAATCATTTATTTAGTCTTAATACGTTCTTCCGATGAATATAGTCTAATATATAGTCTTCTATATGAAAATTCTCCACTTAATTTGACAGAACTTTGTTTTATACAAATAAGACAATCACCATAAGTGTTACATACTGGAGTGTAGGTCAAGGATGAACATATGCTACCTGTTTTGCTATTCAGTTATTTTCACATGTCAATGCCTGAAAATACTGTACTTAAAAACAATAACACTGTTTACTGCAGAAATTACTTTGTCCGCTTGACAGGATACATCACTTTGGTAAGTTAACCATCACTCACAAAAAAATAATCAAGTACTTGTCTTTAATTTGTTCACTTTTCTGCTCATGGCTTCATTGAGCTGACATTTAATACAAAGTGTGAACAGTCATAAGCGTAACACAGTCACCACTGAAAAGATGCTCTCCCTTGCCCCCCTCCTTCCCACATTTTTAATGCACAGCTTGAACCAAAGCAAAGGGAACTGAAGTAGTGCAGTGTCTCAAGGTGTCCTTTAATGAGGGCACAGAACATTTTTGGGGGGACAGATATACAATAGTATTTGGAAAAAATGAAATAGAAGCCCCTCCCCGTCTTTGCTAAGACTCCCTTTAGTTCAGCCCATCAGACTTTTAACATAGCAGCCAACAGCATGGTTAAGATAACAGGACTAATCAAGAGACATACGGCATGCAAAGCACAAAACATAAGGTAGTCCATTAGTATTTTGCCAGCTGCCCAACCTGACTGCAGGAACCGCTCGTGAAGGTTTTAAGAGACAAGGTTTGTGATCAGAGTCTTGGTTAGCTACCTGTAAGGCCATAAAAGGGCCAATTGTTCAAGAGAACTTTTGCAGAAAGAGCAGGTCTATAGCCAAGTTTTCAGTCATCACATCCACAGTTACCAGCCATTTCTGGAAAAACAAACCAAACCAAAAATATCTCCCCAAATCCACACACCACAGCCAAACCTTTGTTCCTCATTTTGCACTTGCACTCAAGTACGATCACTATCCTTCAAACCAAACCAGATCATAATCACCCAATTCCACCGTTTAACTCAAAGCACTAAAGAAAAAAAGCCAGCAATGCACACTCAATCACATAGAATCCTGTCCCCTGCTGTGCACTGGGCAGCAGGACAGGAGTCTCATTTAAGTGTATTTTCAATGTCATCACCATCACTCAAAACCTTTATTCCATGGGCATACTTGGCTGTATGTGCTGTGAGACATCAGTCCCAAGCTTCCTTTAAATAACCTTGAGGAAATCTTGATCTCAGCTTCACTTCTTACATCAGCAGCAGCTGACTTGGTTCATCATGACCTGTAGTACTGACCGACAACTGCCCACAGTTTTACACTGTGCTACCTCACTGCTTTGTTTTAGCAACCTTTATTACAGCTCAGGGCTTGAAGCGTGTGAGCCAAAGCTGTGTCCGCTTATTTCTGCAGAGAGGCTGCAAAGAGTTTGCTGATGTGCAACAAGTTACAAAGGTTTTGGTGGTAAAAACCACCATAAAAGCTGAACATTTTTGGGCCTTCTACTCGGTCTCAACACAAGTCTCTACACCATGTTGGATATTTTTACCACCACTGACAGACAGGAAACTGTTCAGATCAGTTATTCAACCTGTCAAGTTTTAACATTACTGTACACTGAGGAAAAAAATTGTTTAAAGTTATATTTTCATCTAAAAGGGTGCATGCCTTACAGCCCTTCCAGGGCCCATTTCATCTCCCTTCTCTTTTTATACAAAACCAGACTCCGCAGTTAGCTCTATCACATCATTAGGACTATTACTCGCAAAGTCTGATGGGAAACAGAAAAGACTCAGAACAGAATATTTAACTTCAGTCTGACTAACAATGAACAAGCATGTACGCATTCACCACCTACCAGAGAAGCTCCCCTCATTATTTCAGATAAGCATAAGGATTAAGAATAGCTTTTGTGTTCAATCCACTTTCCAAAGATCAGAAAACATTAAGATGTAAAGGATTACAAGATTAACACTTTAAGACTCTGGTCCTGTGGCATATTTCAAATACAAAGATTGGGGACACTCAACAGAAACATTCACTTGAATCAGATTCAAACACATCTTGGAATCTGCCCTTCCATCCTGTACAAGACTTGTGACAACATTCAGCTTTTTGTAAAATTTTGACTACATGAACATCCAAATTAACCTTACTGAGCAGCGTTACGTGGGTCTCTTTCAGCTCAGAGGGAGTACCTGTTAAAGGCACTACAGCAGAATGTTACTAGCCATTTCCAGGTGAAATCCTTGGTTACCACATCTACATCAATTTCCCTCTAACAAGTTTAAAAGCCTGACCTCTGCATAAAAAAAAAAAAAAAAGGAGCACAAGACAGCCCTCCCACCCTTTGTGTGACACACTAAAAGCCTTTTCTAATTTAAAATGTCACTTCCCCGTACTGTACATTTTATAGTCTTAATTTCAAACAAGGGTCAAGTCCTATTAAGGCAGGGAGCTGGTATTGGTTAACACTGCAGTACTCAGACAGTGATGTACAAGACATTTATTTGCAGTATGATGACAGTGATATAAATGGAAAACCCAAAACTGACATGTTTAATATTAAAACTGTTCTGACAGCAATTCACATAACCTCTGAGATACAGCTTCTTTACTTGTTCGTAGTGTGAGCCTATACATCTGAAAGAGAACATAAAATATTATTTACTTTTTAAACACAATGTGGCATGAAATGAATACACAGTCAACAAGGGAAAGCTACCAGGTACCTCTTACTTGTTTCGTTAGGTTTGGTAGGAAAAAAAGACCTCAAGTTAAAACATTCAGAGGCAGCCAGCCACTGGGTAATACAGCTTTTTCAAACCACAGGCTGGAGTACACCTTCAAGCCCTTGCTGAGAGTTACCATTGTTCCAGTATTTTTAGGCTTTAACAGCCAGGTGTTACCCAAAACATTTTCTTTAAGAAGAGTGAATGTTGTGGAAAAGTCTAAAGACTCTCTACCACCAATTCTTCAGAAGATGGGAGACCTACCACCCAAAACTTGTTTTTAGTCCTCAGTTAACTTTGATAAAAATTCTGTCAAAAATGCTTGAGGAAAAATATTCTTAACATTGCATTCATTTGCTTATGTTCCCTTTCTTAGCCAATCATTCTTTTCTTTAAAATGGCGAAGGGAAGTATACTTAATCTTGTCCAAAGTGTACAAAACAGAAACATTAAATGTTTCCAACCTTCAAGAGAAGGTGAGACTCTGTGGACAGTCTGGAATAATACAATTATCTCTTCCAACAGGGAAGAGAATTGCGATGAAGCAGCAGCTTACCAAACCGGGCCAGGGCCAGCTGCTCCAGTTTCATTTCTTGTTGGGAGTCTGCAGTCACAATTAGCTATTGCAATAGGGATGTTAAATAAATCCCTTAAGGAGTTTCAGATACACACTGATAGTTAGTTCAAACAAGAACTTATATGTAAGCTGTAGATACTTAAAACAGATACCTGTGCCTGGAGGTTGGGCTCAAGGCGCAGCAAGCATCCAATCTGAGTCGTTTTTGTATGTATGATACCAGCACCAACAAAGTTCGCAGGATTGGGATCTACCTCCTCAAGTAGGGCTGATCCAAAGCCAATTATCTATGAAAGAAACCCAGAAGATTTAGATGTGGGGACAGTGGGACACCAGTAGCAAGTCTACTAAGCACAGCCACCACTAACTAGCAAAACAAGTAGGAGACTAATTTTTATTTGAAGTGTTCAACACATTAAAGAATTATTCAATACCAATTCTATTACAACAAATTTTTGAAGCGACAGGGTGACTCCGACTATGAGCTGTTCCTAAAAAAAAGTTCCTCTCAAAAACAACTGAGAAATAAGTCAGATCCAACATAAGTCTTTCCTGTTTTTGATAAAGCCATTCCTGTCTTACCCTAGTCACTTCTGTTCTGCCTAAGGCAGCCAGTTCTACAAAGTCACTTGTATTCTTTTCTAGCTAGTAACTCTAGTATAAATCAAGGCTTGAAGTATCTTCCAATTCAGTTTTAAGCACTGAATTGGTATTTTCTTAAATAGCTTCAAGTTTCCAGCTGCTATTGAAGACTGTATCTAGTTCAAGCCACACCAAGAAACAGTCCATTCAATCACGCTCTGCCAAGGGTCTGTTACGCAGCATGGACTTACACCTTAATGGGACGATCTAATTGCCATCTAAACCAAGATGAACAAAGTTTGCTTATACCACTACCCTTACACTATGAATTAAAAATACTGCGCTACCACCCACCTTTGCTTTTGTGATTTCTGCATCCATCGGGTGTTTTGCTTTAAAGATATTCTGTACTTCTTGTTTTGGACTGCAAGACAAGGCAAGATGAACACATGATCTAATACATGTATTACATATAGCATCGTTCAATAGCAACTCATTGTATCTAGAGTTTAACACTTACAGGATTAAGTATGGGACGGGGCATTGCACCAGCTACAGTCACAATATACCCTTTTTCTTCCCCTGGCCCACCACAAGAGCCCCAAGCCCAAGTATAGACAAAGTCTTACTTGCTCAGTTGCTTCCAACGCTGGAAAAAGTCTTGAGAAGACATCTCTGTTGGCTGGAAAAATTTATTCAGTGTGATGGGTAATTTTACTGAAAGATTTTGAAATGTTCCACCATACCTGCACGTGGAATAGAAAGAACACGGCTTATGCAGCACAGCCTCAGCAGTCTCTCAGCCCAAATCAACCAAGCAACTGAGAATGAACACTAACGTGCAGTTCTTTATGACTAAAATGCATCAACTGTAGATAATGTTATTTCTAAGATACAGTTTTAATCCACTGTTAAATAAATTTATTTGCTCGTTTAGGTGGCACATGAAAGTGAATTGGCAGAGCTTCTAGTAAGGATCTCTCAGTTTCAATATAGGCTGTTATCCTTCTAGATGGCACCCATCAAAGAAGTGAAAATACATCCCTGTGGAAACACACCAGTAAGAACCAGTTTAGACTAGAAACCCAGTATTTAGCCCAGAACTCAGGATTTCCCAAAGGCGGATGTTTAGTGGACATAATAAGATTCTATTTTTGGCTGCATGCATTTCCAGTCCAAGTTGTTTTCAGACATGTTCTTGGTTTCCAGAAGGGAGAAGTTACTGCATATATTCCTGTCAAGATTTCTTAAGCAAACAGGAAGACTGTTGTTTTATACGGATAGCAGAAAGAGAAGTCATCGAGACATTTTATCAGTAGCTGCTTCTTGATTAATTTATTATTTTTTTTCAAACCACATTGTTCCAAGTGAATTCCCTACCTCCCCTAGTAACTTAAGGCTTAGTTAGATCAGTTTTTCAAGTAAGTTGTCTACCCAAGACAGCTTTGTGTCCATATTCTACACTTTAGTCAGAGGACCAGGATAAATTAAACATCTTTCATCCAATTAATTCACTAGCATTTGAATCCTGTGTTTTACCTGAATTGAATGTTCAGGATCGGAGCTTCCATAAAGTCTGACACACACTCGATGTTCACAACCTGTTGAACTTGTGCACCTCCATCCACTGTGGGGTCAACAGGCTTTGTCTGAAGATTCAGGCATAAGAAGCAGTTAAGGAAACTGATCAATGAATTGATAACTAAAAAAAAAAAGAGAGGGGGGCAAATCCAACAACAAACTACATGAGGAATTAGCATTGTGTCCACTCACTCTCTATATGCTACTGAATATTGAAAGCTCAATTCTTGTACAGCAAGAGGGGTGTGGTTTGGTTTTTTGTTTCCATACTGACAAAACTAGAAGCAATAACCCCCACAATTCTCAGTTATTTGGTTATTCTTAAAGAAAGATGCCCTCCAAAAGGTATGAAGGCACAGACTTCACACTAAAAACCACTGGACTATCTCATTTTGACATGAACGTGATAGTGATGCTTTGAGTCAGAGAAGCTTGATTACACAGTCTCCCCAAAATCCTAAATTTGCAATACTAAGCATTAAGGATAAACTGTAAATTAAGAGCTTATTTTAAAGTATCATCATTGTTGTGTACAGGTATTCTTCTACCTCCATCTCAAGTCTGAGGTCATCTGCTAATGCAGGACTCAAAGTAGCAGGAGTATAGATGTGGTGTCCTTCATGACAGTGGAGAAAGCTACAGAGCTACATTACATATTTATTCAGCCTAATTTCTCCTTATTTCAACAATAAAATTTGTGTTTGAAACCAGAGCTTTAAGGACAGAATGTTCCATCTCCGCTCAAGGCTTGTTCTTTTTACAAGAACAAGGAGGGAGTTATCAGCAGGTTTCTCCTTTCTTCATGTTCAAGGCCACCATGTCTTCATCCAGCAGCTTTATCACAATTTTGTGTGGCATAAAACCCAAATAAGAACAGACACATGCTACTGCATTTAAGGATATTTGACTGTAGGTCATCTGAGCAGATTACTGTTGGAGTAAAATTCAGGAACTGTGTTGATGTCTTATTACCATAGAATATGAACATACGTCCTAGAAACAAAAGAATAAGAGACATCAGAATTTTTAGGTACATCACATACAGATACTTGAAGCACAAGTAGTTCAAACACATTATCTTTCTACCTTTCTTTAAAAGAACTTTTAAAAACAAAGCATAATTTACACGGTTTGTCTTGCCAAGGTATTCACAGCTCAAAATGAAGTAACAGATTAAAACAAACAAACCATCAGACCTCTTCCACCATGGCTGTCACGCAGGCAGTTAAATAATCAGTGAAAGTCTTCCGGTTGCCAGAGAACATTACTTTTTATGTAAAGAAGCTATTATGGTACCAAAAGTGATGCAGAAGGGGAGAAGCAAGCAATGCTAGTGCTGGCCTGTGTTTGATTCCCAGCTATTTCCTAGATGTTTTCAGGATCTTGTGCATTAATGGATTACGACTGACGTGTCTGAAATGCATTGTGTGGCATATTATTACAATGAGCTACACTAAGATATAAAAATCAAGAATGGTCCTTTCTAACTCTGGCTGTACCAGCCTTACAACTAGGTAGCAAGAGGTGGAACTTACAGTACCACTTAACACTCCCATTTTATCTCAGCTACCAAAACAACCAAAAAGTTTAAGGAAACAAGAACCCACACAGAAGCCAGGGACATAGAAACAGTGAAGATCCTAAGACAGGTTAGGCTTTAAATCACATTTCCTTCTTAAACAGCCAAAAAGTAAGTCCTATCCACAATATCATGGTGGCAATGGGGTCGATAATGCAGAGAGCTAACCACTTGGCCTGAAAATATCTTACCCAGGTTCTGTCGAAATTCAGATTTCAATCCAATTTGCAGCAACTGATTTTCAAATAAGACTCCATTATTTTTACACACAAACCTAGAGGAAGAGAGGGAAATGGTGTCTTAAATTGAGCCATATTAAACAATATTTAGAACCACAAAATTCAGGGTTTACAGAGAGGATGAAGATTGTTGTTAACCTAGAGTGCATCAGTCAGAGAGAGGCCTTTGCAGAAAACTGCAGAGTTAGAAAAGACAATTTTACAACCAAAACCACCACTTGTAGGACACTAAAAGAACTGCAATTTATTTGATAGGATGTCTGAGAAACTACAAAGGAAGCCACAATATGCTATATACACACACACACACTGTCTATAAAGGACCAGGCAACAGACTAGGATTTTTCTTATTCATATTCTTGACAACTTCTGAAACTCATTAGGTTGATGTAGAATTGAAAAGTTTGAAGATTTGACTGTTTAAACCTGAAAGAAAAAAGAATCCCTTGTTTTATCAGTTCTGTATCACATAAGTCAACTGAGAGCTGTATATTTTTTTTCCATTTTGAGAGAGGAAACCCATTTTGCAGCGAGTTCAGTCCTTTCTGTCACCCTTCACTTAAAAAGTAGAAGAGGTGGTCAGCAAACATCAGCCTTTTGCACACAAGGCACTTAAAACATACTCCCAAATATCCATACTTTGGACAATTTACTCATATTTTTCCTTTATTTGTGAATAGTTGCAGAACTTAATATACAACTGACATTGCCTCATTTTAGAGCAGTGTGTGATAGCACTGACTCGTAAAAGTAACTCTAACCTGTGTATTCATGAGCTCGTCATAAAATCCAAAGCATCTACAGAGGTGTTCTAGTCACAAGTCTGACAATACATGTTTCTCTAGCTTTGCTGGTATTAAGTTAACGCACAATATAGTTTTGCTTTATAACTATATTCGGGAAGTTGCCCAGCCTTGCAAGGTTTTAGTATTGCTTACTTGTGAAAAAGCTCATCAGCATCATGCACAGTATCAGCTGGTTCCTCAGAAACTACCTCAGATGAAGCCAGGTCAGGGCTAGTTCAGGCAGCACAAAGGAAGAAAGGCAGCAGCGACAGAGATAGCAGGAGTTAGTAAAGACAGCTTAGTGCTTAGTCATTTCTTTTACCTCCTTCCTCAAAAATGGCACTGCTGAGTTTAATGCATGAAAGATGTATTAGCTGCCCTAGCTCAGTACACCTAGAAGGGTTTTAGGAATTAGGCAATGTTTTCCCCCATTTCTCTCCCCCACCCCATCCCTCCCTGATTGTTAGGAACCAGCAATTCCTCCCAAAGACAGAAGACAGCTGAAGGTGTTCAGTAGCTTAAATTTATACCTCTTAAAGAACCAAGTCCTTTTAGGTGTTTAATTGCAACAGTAAAAAAGTTTTAGTTCAAAACCATAAGTGTAGAGGTATATTAACTACTACAAACGTGCACTTTGAAGCGGAGGCCTCATCAACCTTAGTGGCACTTCTAACTACAGCCACACAATCAGTTCTTAAACACACACAAGTATTAAGTGTAGGCAAGAATATACAGGCACACAGAGAATGACTTACCCAAGTAACAGATTAGAAACAAAAGTGACAACAGCACTAAAAAGAGGCAGGAAACTGTAAAAGGCAACTTCTCAGTATCATTAGAGAAGCATTTCATCATCTACAGACAGACCAAGGGGTTGGGCAATGCTATACTTTCTTCTGCAGAAAGAGAAAACTCTTTTTAGGTGACTTTTGTTTATGAAGCTATTAGTATTGGTTTCTTTTTTCCTCTTTTTAAAAAAGCTTGTATAGCTTCGAACAAGCTTGTATAGCTTCTTAAAGCCTTGGTATTGTGTAGCATGATTAAACATCACTTATGGCCTTCGAAAAGAAACACAGGATCAAGTCTTAATCACTGCAAACCTGCAACAATGCCTCACCTAATATAAAATTTTGATGAAAGTCGCAATGATCCAGGCAAATTAGCTTCACTAATTATGTCTTTTATATCAAGATGCACTGCAAATTTGTCATGCCGTCATTCAAAATTTGGCCCTTGCCAACAGTAACATGTTCTTTGGCTAGTAAGACAACAGATTTTTAAAGACATTCTGTGATCTTATACTATTTATTTTCAAAATTTTAGCCAAATAACATCTGAATGTAGTCACAGTGGCTTTTAACATTAAACAGGATTAATAACACATTATAGCTACACTACACTTGGCAATGTAATGAGGAAGATACTTGTATAAAATCCCCTTAAAAGAAAGAAAAGCACTTGTTGGTTTTTCCCCTTTTCACACCTGTTTGTCAGACAGTAGCAGAACAATTTAAGTATATCTTGAAACTCTGAGAACCAGTATCTCTGGATATAATCCATCTCACTGTTCCAGTATCAGCTTGCCATAAGTGGAGAGACACAAGACTACTTTACGGAAATATGATAAGAATAAACATATTCATATCGGGCTAGATAACCCCCAAATTCAAGATGTATTGAGATGCACAAGCAGCTTGGTTTAACAAAGAAGCAAAACCAGCATGAAAACTAGGCAATACTGTGTGGCTAATATCCTCAGGCTGATTACTACAGACTCAGTTTTTCCATGAGCAGAGGTATTCAATAAAGATAGCACATCCAGCATAGAGTTCAAGAACACCTCTTTTGCTGCACAGCTACCACCCAGGAATGCATTCAATAAGCTGGAACAAAACCAGAAGTTATTGTGTGTATTTTTTTCTCTAATACTGTTTTAACAGACAAATTCTTCTACAGATTCCTTGCAGGGTGACTTAATTACCTCGCAAAGTTGTCATCAGAACCAGGAGCAAGAGGTGCAACTGCAGAAGCTGAATCTGAAAATACATCCACCAGCAGACTACCACTAGAGGACGGTGGGGGAGCTGAATTGGTGAGAGGGGCAGCACCCAGACCCAGCAGATCCGCAGATGGAGAAGGAGTAGACTAGGGAAGACAAGACACTTTGGTGTTACACTACAGCAAAACTAAAACAAAGCTGTGTCTCTTGCATAGAGAACTAAGCTATGGCAAAGTGCCTCTCCCCACCCCAAATCAAGCTTTGAATGGATGCAAGCGGCTTCATGAATCCAGTTATCACCTTGCATTTCAACTTAAGGCCGCTTAAAGACGTGATTTTCTTTTTTCCCTTTGAAGAGAGTTACGTCCAGTTAATTGTTAAATAAAAACCCGAAAATCATCTGTCTAGAATCTGATTCTGCAGAAGACATACAGCCATGGTTTTTTCTGCCCCTCTCTTCTCCCCTCTTAGTTTCAAGGCAAATCAAGTACTGTAGGGAATAAAATTCGTATGTGTTGCTTTTCTTTCATGAAGAATCCAGCAAGAAAGGCGGTGGCTTTTACACAAACCTAAATTAAAACATCACAACATCTTTAAAATTAACTATCAGTTTAGTCCTGGGCTTTTGAAGCTTGGCAAACCTCAGAAACTATGTAAAACCTAACCAGCAAAAAAGCAGAGCCTGTAGCTAGCTCAAGCTGCAAACCCTGAAGTAGAGGCTAGACCTTTAAAAATTTTTTTGCCTCAGATGGAACAAATCAAGAAGCCACAACACAGATTCACACCACAGAGGCCACATATATGTGCCCAAGTCACATGCAAGAAAAAGCATAGACTGTTAAACAAAGTGTTCATGTATTAGACGTTAGCAGCCTACAATATGCCAGATACACTGAAGATGAGTCATGAGATGCATTTGGATTGAATCTGAAATCTTGTTTTTGTAAGTCAACTCAAAGTTATCATATACTCCAAAGACTGAATTTGATGCAGTATAACAAAAAAATTCCCTGGCAAAAAAAATTCAAAAGCCAATTGGTAAGAAATACCAAAACCAAACAGTTGGAACTGCAATTTGGAACATATTCTCAGCATCTAAGGCAGCGTCACACCAAAGCCACTGATGAAGGTAACAGAGTTTCTTACATGGCTGCAACCCATAAAGCATAGCTCATAAAGCCTAATGCAATTTTAACTGCCAGTCACCTCAGTCGATTCGGCATGCAAAGAAAATTTGGCAACTTTTCTGCTGGAAAGGTATTTCTGTCCATTGAAAGATGTTGGACTTGGAACATCTACTTTTACATGCTGCAATGACTAAGAGTTAAAGGATTATGCTTTCAAACTGGGTAGGGAGTATGCTACAATATTTCCTTCTCTTACGTAATCTACTACTACATCTCAAATGTAATTACAAATTATGCTACTCATTAAAACCAGAAACAAGTGTTACATTATGGGAACAATTCATCCTACTAGCTTTAATTGACAATAAAATGAGAAGTTTCAGCACAGAAGAAACAAGACTGTGGCCTTGTCTGCCATAACTGAACTGAAATAGTACCATCAAATAAACAGTAACAACATTATATTGATTTAAGGACATCCATGTTAAGTCAAGTGTTGTTCACTTCTAGTAAAAACAGTAACAACCCGAAACAAGATGCAAAATATCTACCATGCTAGACAATTAAGAACAGCTGATATTTAAAAGGAGTAACTTGAATTTTAAAGTATGTTTATTTTAGCATCTCACCTTCACTGCAATTTCACCAGCAAGGAAATTCCCTCGTCTAAGTTTACAGCAATATTTTTCCAAAGTAACAATGTAAAAGGGATTTTTTTTTAGGCTGCAGACAGTTCGTCCCCATTTACATGAGATTTCCAAAGGAAAACTGCATCCAAGCATGGGGGGGGGGGAAAGCAGCTGTATGTTCCTCTGCTACTTTATAGCAAACATTCAGAGTCTTAAATTTAAAGATGAGAAGTTTTAAACCCCTAAAAAGCCACTTTAAGGAAACCATTCTTTTCTCACTTGCATGCCATCTAAATTAGTGAAACAGCAGCTTTTAAACTCACAACAGCACTGGCATTGACTGAGGCAGGTTCAGCGCTTCCATTCATATCAGAGCTCCTCTCCTTTTTGATCTCTTCCAGGTCAGTAACAGTGCCTGGGCCTTTCTTCTTCTTGAGTTTAGCCAAAATAGAAGATTCCCTCTCTGGAAAGGGAGGCATTTCTTCCAGCACTGTAGCCTTATCACAGGAAAAAAGTGTATTCATTAAACTTACAGAAAAAGCCAAACCAGCTTCTGAGTCTTTGAAGAGATACACTCTTACAAATTGCACGAGGCAAAAAGCAGAAGTAGTTATCCACACAGAAAACTATGCAGTTTATTGTACACTGATGGAGTAGCCTTGTTTTTAAAAAAAAAGATTTAAAACTTTCTGAAGTTCTCCCAAAGCAGTTGTTTAAGAGAACAAGAGCATGACTTCTCCAGTACAGTGTTATTAAAAAAAAAAAGTTAGATCATAGCAGACCTAATGGTCCTTAAGTCAAGCAGACCTAGACTGAAAACACAGAAGATTATCCAAGGATCTAGTCAGACCTAAGCATTTATTAGCTGTCAAGACTAACTGTGCCATGCCAGACCTGAAAGCATGAGGTTAAAACAGTGTGAACTTCTACAGACAAAAAAAAATTATTCAGCACAATTACATACTTCCTGCCTACCATCAAGTAAATCCTCAAAACAAAGCACTAGCCTTTTGGTATCTGAATACTGTAGGACCCTATCCTATGCCAGCTTTCACTGGTTTCCCAGCTCCATATTAGCATGCTTTAACAGTCATTTATCCCCCGAAAGCAATAACAACTTTGGTTTTAGATGTAAATTAAAGATGACTGCAGCTGAATTAGGTAGACTAAAAGAACCAGTACCCACATTGTGGATCCTTAATCCTGCATTAAGATTTCTGAGCAATCAGGTAAGGTTTAGTGGAATTTGCTTGTTGACAGAAGACACAGCTAAAAAGTTCTGCATAATAATAATAAAAAAATAAATCTTTATACCTACCAATATATCAGTACTGGCAATAGTACTAAGCCTCAAATACTCAACAGCTCTCTGCTGTAGCTCAACATCAGCATTCTTTAGCTGACTGTCACTGCGTAATACATCTTGAATTGTAGTTTTGATTTCTGGAAACAGGTTCACAAACTTGATGTAGGTAGACAGAAGCAAAGCTCGGGTAGGAACGCTACACAGATGAAACTTGGAATGTAGCAAGTTGAACTGGATGAGGGGACTTAAGATGGGAAGAAAAATAATTTGTTCAGTTTTTGTAGACATGATAATTCTTAACGCATTACTACTGAGAGCTGAATCATTTGTTAACTGGCCTTTAGGAACATTAAACAGACATTAGACTCTTTACAGAAAGCGTTACTACTTCACTTCAGTATTTTAGAAGGTGTTTTTACCTTGACCTTGGATCACCTGCTATCAGATTTCCAAATTCTCCCAAGATGTAGCCACCTACTTTCACAAGATTCTCATGGCATGCTGGAGCTTGAAGGGCCTGTAATAACAAATTAATGGTCACTGATCTGTAGTGTACCAAAAAAAAGCTTTTCTGTCACTTCCATGTCCAGTTTTCCTAGTCTATTTTCCTGTAAGAGCAGACCACAGGTCTAGGCACTATAGAGCACTTGTGAGAAAAGCATAATAGGTGGTATGACTTTATAGAAGAATCTCTAACATAATTATTACTTGCTTAAGAGCACTCTTAGGCCCATCTAACAGCACTGCGGGAACATTCAGGAAAGGAAATAAAAAAGAAAGTGGAAAGCCAATATGAAGAATCCAAACAAAGTGAGAGCAACAAGGCCAGACATGTGAAAGTGTTCTCCTTTAATAGTTCGAATTTCAGTTTTATTAGATCCTGAACAGAAGGAATGGGTATATGCTTCCAGAAGGATCATCAAGTTATCATTTTGAGTGTTTTGGATTCTTGCATGCAGAAAACTCAAAAAAAAAAAAAAAAACAAAACCAAGCCACCCTGTAAAATGGTTCTATTTTTACTGCAGTTCAGTAGTTTTTCCAGGTAAGGCAGTCTCCTTACTAAACCATCCATTCAATGCCATCCACCAAAACAACAATGCCCTCCCTCACCAAGACCAGAACAATACCAGGCATATTCTACATTACTTAAGTCAGAGAATCTTCTCGTCTTCATACAGTCTCTGGCTCCGAAAAATCTATGATGCCAGTTTTATGGAAAGCTTCAGCAGCATTTTGTTGAAATATTCAGGATCATACTTTTACTCCTTCCTAACACGGGGAAGCACACACACCTGCTAGATCACACAGTGTTTACTTAATTCCCATCTCATTTTGAAAGTGAGTTGAAAACAGTTATTCTTACCTCAAAAACAGTCTTTGCTGCATATCCTTGAACATCATCCCTGTTGATGACAATCTGAATAACTCGATACCACACTTCTTCACTGACATAGTCACCAGCAATGCGAATCAGATTCAAAATTGTATCCACATACCAAGTATAATCCACTGCATACTTCTCAGCCAGAATTGCAACTTTCAGAACCTGAACATGCGTAAGAGAATAAAGAAGGTTGACTATCTTCTACTACAAGCTGTGTATCACAATTCACTTTCACATACACCTAGTGATATCCCATGGTAGCCCAGCAGCCTCAGTTTCAGCTGCTCTCCTCATAATGCATTTGAATATGTTGCATCTGTGGCTCTTCAACTGTGTACCTAAGCATTTAAGAGCTTATTTACTGAACTTTTTTGTTTCCTATAAAAACACCATCTAAACCACCACTGAGACAGGACCAACTACAAAATTGGAGAACTCAAAAAAAAACAACAAAAAAAACCAAAACAAAAGTGGAAACTCAAGCTAGCAGAGACAGACCAGAGTCACCAAAACATAGTACGACCTGAAAAAGGCACCTAAGATCCCTGAAGCAAACAATCAGCATTGGAAGAGATCTCCACATAATTTGGTTTTAGTTGCATTTATACTGGCCTATTCTTCTAGGAGCAGTAAATTAACAGAATGAAATTCACATTATCTGCCAAGTCATGGTAGATGGCCAACAGCAATAAGACAGTACAAGAAGAAAACGAGCTAACACTATTCTATGTTAACTTCTCCAATCAAGAAACTTTAGCACCTAACTAAGCCAAATAATTACCATAAGTACAGGTTTTGGCTACCATTCTAGGAAGGTCACTAAGTGAGTACTTCAACTTTCACATTTTTTTCCGGCTAGGAGGAAGGAGACAGATATCATGCCTCTTTTAGCTGATAATAAGGTATTGGTTTTGGGAATCCTTACACAGAGAATGTTCTCACAGCATACACAGTGTGAAGTTCTACCTACAAATAAGTATTTAATCACACCAATTCTTGAAGCTATTAAACAGTTGACCAGAGTAGGACATAACTCTCAGATCTAGAGATTGTATTTGCTCAAGCACTGATGAAATCCACTTCACTTTCTATATGCAATGCCCTGAGACCAAGATTAGTATTTAAAATTCCTAGTTTCTAAGGGTAGTCACTGTCCCCCATTAGTTTAACCTAAATGAAGAACATGCTTTGCTGCTGTTAAGACTACAAATGTAGGGTGGTTGTTTTTTGTGGGGTTTTTTTTGTTTGTTTTGTTTTGGGTTTTTTGTTGTTGTTGGTTTTGTTGTTGTTGTTGTTCTTGTTTTGCGGTGTTTTGTTTTTTTTTTAAAAACCACCACAAAAAAGAATCTCCACCACAGACTATCAAGCATCCCAATCAATAAATGATACACATGGTGCCAAAGCCAGCTATGAAAAAATTAAGGAAACAAATATCTCACAATTTCTTCTCTAATGGAATAGTCAGCAGTCTCCAAGTAATTCAGCATTTCAGCCACAATCTGTTGGGCATTGCTTCGGTCACACATTGCATACAGGAGATCTACAGCTCTTTGTCGTACACTTACATCTCTTTCAGTCTGCAAAAGGACACACAGCAAAAGGTCAAGATGATTTCATCTTTGGAAAGCACATGCAACTTACTGAGGAGATGTAACTTACTATAATCCATAGTCACATTTAAAACAAATGCATTTTCATAATCTTTCAGATGCAGAATGAACTTAGACATATCCTTCACATACACTGAGTTTCTCATGTTATTCTCACTTTTAGTCACCTAGAAAGAGGTCACTGGAGACTCAGATAGCTTCCTGCTTTTAGATAACATTACAAAAATTCAAATCATCAGGTTTTGCTTCTGTAGTATACATATTCAAATCTGTGCAAGTGCTGAAAAGATGGAAGAGTTTGTATAAAATACTCCACTATTACCCTAACTAGGGTGAACAAGTTTGTGGTCCACTGTGCACTGAGCAGCTGGCACCACTGGCCACAGATGCACTAATAACTGGCTGAAATTGTCAAACTGTCACCAGGCCAATGGGCAATTAGCTACCTGCAGGTTTAGTGTTGGGCTTGCCTGGTATCAACAGAAGCCCAGCTAGAACAGATATGTACTTTAGTCAGACACATGTATTAACATGCTACAGCATCAGCTTGAAATAAAACAATACACGTAAACACTGAAGTGTGCAAGTAAATTTAGATGCAAACCAGTCTTCCTCTTTCGACTTCTGCTTTTTCACATAGACGTGGTCCGGGAACACGTATTTCTGGTTTCCTGACTTTCTGATTCTGCAGTGGAAGCTGATCTGCTCTACTGCTCCCCATAAGCTACTGCAGTGAAGGAATAGTATCTGATACCAGCAAGACAGTAACAAAACCAAGTCTTCCCAGCATTCTCTGTTTTGAAATTCTATGTTTTGAAAGAATTATTCATCTTCAGTCTACAGCTTGAGGAGATACCAGTGTTCCAGGGGCCACAGCTGTAAGTATAAGATTTACTAGTAAGCTGCAGAAATAAACTGAAGCTGACCTCTGTTGTTGCCAGCACAGCAAGATTTTGCAGGATTAAGGAAAAAACCTAAAGCAGACTTCTGAGAATAACTCACGTGGTTCTCAAGCATTATCAGCTTAATTGGGGATCGGGGGCTTCGGGCCGTGGGGGAGAGGACATTGAGGTAGGGCAGAAGATAACACTTAAAACAGACTGCACACTTAAATATTTACCTTCAATGCATTGATAACAGTTTCTATGTGTGTTTTCACAGCCTCATGTGAGAATTCAGAGCTGGCAAGCGTGCACATGCTTTCCAGTGCTAGGTAACGCAAATTAGTTTCTCGGTGCTGCAAGAACTGACCTAGTTGGTTACAGGCACGGACTAGTAGATTTGGCTCACTGCACAGAACAGGAGAGAAAGTGAAAGGGTTAAAAGCAACAGGTTTGAGAACACTCAATACAGAATACTATTTCTGCAGTGGAAATTTCTTAAAATGCCTCAAAGTCTCTGTTGGATTAGAGTGGTGGGATCAATACAAAACATCCAAAAAAAAGCAGCAGCAAGAAACAAAGCAATAAAAAAATATGCCAACAGCAACACAGTTCATTAATATTGTTCAATTCCATTGCTGTGGTTGTGTTCCAATCTAGTAAGCAACTTCATATTCTGATATTCCCCCTTCCACCCACCCCCCTGCTAAAATTCCATTTAGTGTTCAAGACAAAGCCACAGCTTTTCGCTTAAAAAAAAAAAAATCCTCTCAAATAGAAGTGTTCTCACAGCTCACCTGTCATGATGTATAATTAAGCTTATTGCCTCAAACAGCACAGCATTCTTCGCATTTGAGTGTTGTACTTTTTTTGACTTTGGTGGTTCCTGCGCTTTGTTGAGAATAGTTTCCAGGCATTCTGTTAGGCGACCACGTACCGCAGGGTCTTCTGGAGAAGAAGCAGCCGTTGGACAACTTCATTTTGCTCAACACCCTAATCCCTACCTTAGGCCTTCCACCTTGCTAAATCTGAATAAACTGCAATATTCTGATACATTAAAAACAGTTCACCCTCCCCCAATATACAGTTGGCAAAAGAATTCTAAACCACAGTCCAGTTTCGGTGACAACAAATATAATATATTTCAAGGCTTTAATATAGTTGATAAGATTAAAGAATGTTTAAAATGGCAGTTGCAACTGGTTTGTAAGATGCACACTGGTTTGACACTTTGCTCTAAGCTACACGGCCTTTTGAATTATGTTATGTTTAATTTCAAAAAAATCTGAAACACTCAAGATGACAGACTTCAGTATCCTTGTCTTAAGACAGTGTGCTTGCACTCGAAGTTATGGAACGCTACAGCACAGTAGCGTAAAACAACATAGCACTGCATAAAAGAGATGATCACTGTTGTGATTTGTGCATTACCTGGAGGTGGATAGCACTGTAACAGCCTCAGAAGTTTCACAGATAACCAAGGAGCAGGAACAAAGTAGTACGTATAGTCCTGAAGATCTGTTGATGCAGAAGTTACAATCTGTAAAATAAGCAGACGGCATGTCAACTACTGAAATTAAGTGATGTGCAATCATAAGAAGGACCCAAAGAACACCGTAGGTCACCTTTGACAGAGGCTTACAAAACTATGTCACTAGCAATATTTAATTCAGTAGATTAGTTAGGTGCAAGTTGTCACACAATGAGTATACCACCAGGTTCCCTAGCAACAGAAATCCAGTAGTCTAGGAAGTCTATTCCTGAAAGCACACTTGCTTTTCTTCAGAATGAAGATGACAATCTTGTAACACCAAAACATTTAACTAGAAGCTTGACTTTCTTTGATTTAGGAATTCATAGATTCAGCCAACAGAAAGCTTAAATACAGTGTTACAGATGACTGCTGACAGGTGAACTTGGAATTCAAGCACAAGATGCTATGACAGACTGAACTAAAGCAGAATGACCAACTAAAATCTTCAGTAATACTCATACTCCAGAGCAAAGAACAGATAGCTTTCACAGAAGAGGTTTATATGCATAGTGAAATGTGATAAGGATTAGATTATATTTCAGAGGGAATACCCTTCTTCATGGATTTCTTTTCCCCCTTTGATTCTAGGGTAAGCATGAGTTTGGCACTAGCTTTGCTCAAGGACATCCATTACAGAGCAGCTATGCACTTCCCTCAGCATTCCCATGCTTTTAAGCATTAGACAAAATCTCCATACTTGAAAAGAAATTAAAATTTCTCTGAACTACAAGTAACTTTGGGTATAACACTGCATAAATCTGGGTCTAAAATACATTTGTGAAGTCATATCCTCCATGTCTTGCATACCTTCCAAAAGACAAAAACCAAACAAAACAGTAATGTAAGTTTTCCAGCATAAAGATGCTACCTTACAGAAAGGTCTCTCCACTCCTCCCTGCACCCCCTGCCCCTGTCTAACCCTCTACACCAATTTACATAATATCAAATCCTTATGATTATTAATCTAGCAGCAGCTCAAAAGAGGGAACAGGAAGAAGACTCATCTTGTAAGCAGATTAGATAAAAGTTAGAAGTATGGGCTGTATTTGAGGGTTCTGTGCAGAAGTTTGCAGAACCAGTCTTTGATCCAACTACTCTTTGGTGTTATAGTAACATAAGATCAGGATTAAAAACTCAACTGCATCATGAGGATCCTTTCAAATACAAGTAGCTGAGAGAAAGACAGACAGACGTCTTTTTGCTACTTAGACTTGGAGCGTAGCAATGATTACACCAAGAAAGTTTGGGCAAGATAATACAGTTTTCTACCCTGGTAAGCAACAAGCATTAAAAGAGGTTAGCTGAACCAGCTACATTAAGTGAAACTGAATCATCTTTGCTTTTAATGATACACCAAACTAATCTGACCTAGAAAGCTGAATAAATAAGCAACAGTAAGCTAACCTGACCTAGAAAGCCAAGTAAGTTAAGCAACAGTGAAGTATTATCAGGGTTATCATTGGACTCACTCTGCTTAATCTAGACACTGCCAAGGAGACTGAAGTTTTAAACTCTTCTGGGTTCTTCTGTGCCAAAGTGGTGATCAGACTTGTAGCTGCAGTAACCACACCCTAGAACAAAAAGCAGTAAGTTCAATCTTGTAACAGTTTAAGATGCTCCCATTAACATCTTTCACTTCAAGTATTTTTTAATATACAACAAAACTAAGTTTATCCTTGCGACAAAGCCACACATTAAAAAGCTTTTTATTTGGCTAGCAGCTAGACTATGTATCTTCAAAACCCAACAGGATTTTCAACACTATGATATGCCATGCTTGCAGAGCATTTCGTACTGTTTTTGCACTAGCTTTGTCTCATGTTTGGATAGTACATCTAAAACAGAGAGCTATTACTAAAATAAAGCCTGGAGGCAAATTGTCTTATTACATAAGAAAAGCATGAGTAGAAGAAATAGGATGCAGTAGATCATCCAGGAAAGAATTCTGACAACCCAACATGAAGAAAGGGCTTTGTATAACACACACACTTCATATTACTGCAGACTAAAGTACTGTTATTACTGCTGAAGCACAGGTCTTAAGAGACTATGTTCTTTCCCCCCGTCTAGTTACTTTCTTAAAGTAAGGCTATTATCTAGAACAATAGGTTTTTCTAAACCAGCAAGAAAAGAATGACAACATGGATGTCACAAGATAAAGAAGTCCAAGCACTGCCAAATCAGGCCTTGCATTTTTAGTACAAGTCTAATCTTAAAAGTCCCAGGAAAATTAGTATGGCACCTATGCAATACGACTTAGGATCACAAGGCACAAGGTTAATTTATTTACAGCCAGAGCAAAAGAAAAACTTGCGCATACCATTCTTGTATTTTCAAGAGGAAGCAAGATAAACAAAGCTTTATTAAAGGTCAATATATACAGCAACTAAAAGAGGAAGACAACTCCTTCCATTTCTTTCCCCATGCCTGAAGAAAAGAGCAACTCACTTGCTCGAAAGACTCAAGAAGAAATAAATTAATAGTGTATTTAACAGCAGAAATTACATCATTCTCTATACATACTAAGTCCAAGAAGCATAATGAAGCTGACTTACCAAGTGCTGGTCATTGAGGAGATGTACCACTCTAGATGTCCAGTCTCCCATGGGCACAAGGTCTGGAGAAGTTCTATATAAACGCAACAAGCATAAGGCAGCACTCTGCTTCACGCTATCCATAGTATCTCTGCAAGACACAAATATAGATTTAAAATGCAGTGGTTAAGTCACAGCAATACTTGCAGGCCAACATTATGTTAGTCTTTGCACTGACTCAGCATCCCTAGCTAGGCAGTATCTTTTCAATAGAAGTTCACTAAATTCTTCCTATGTTACAGTATTTGTTCTTAATTTTGTTCAATAAGTTTAACTAGGCAAGTTTTCAACCATCACATGTCTAGTAGCCTCTATAATGATTCTCTGCAACTTAGAGTGACATTTCACATATTTTTATCAGAACTGAAAGTTGTCATTAGATGAAGACAAGCTCATCTAATCACAAGAACAAGCTTCTTCCAAACTGACTCAAGTCAAGCAGTTAAGGTACACTATGCTATCCATGTGACCAAAGCTGGATCTCCTGATAGGTCCTGCATATCAGGCACAAATCATTAACTACTCCACAGCTTTAGTACCTACAGCCAGCGTACAAGTCAGCTAGCTGTCACCAAGCATGCAAGCCACAAATCTATTCACCTTGCCATCGATGCTGCTGGCACAGAAACAGACTATTTTAAGAGCAGCATGCTACTATTCTAGTTCAGTGAACTCCCTCTCAAAGTATTCAGTCAAGCATTTTGTATGTTGCACAAACAGTAGCTAAAAAAATGTACAGAGCATTAGCAAAGCACTAGCACTGAAAATTTTAAGAGGCAGTTTATACTGTGCAATCTTGGTTACATGTTCAGAAACCTTCACATCCCCAGTAGAAGTTTCATCCACCTATTCTTTATGAATTTACCAATTTTGCATGAGATCAAATTGTACCTTAGTTACAAAAACAAAACAAAACCAACAAAACCTAAACCTATTCCTCCCTGCCTCATACACTCCCTCCCTCCAATTTATATTCAAGCCAAGGGAGCTACACTAAAGTCGCAAACGTAACCGACGATGCTCATTCTGCACAGGTTACTAGATGTGACATGTACACACACACATTTTATGTATATTCTTAGAAATGCAGAAGGAACGAGGCCCTGAAGACTGATCTCAGAACATAAAGACAGCTCAAAGTTCAAACAAGTCTGAACCGACGGTACCGCGCTCTGTCTGTGATTGCTGACCCTAAGTGAAATTTTTGGAACTTTTCAAGGTTATCTTATTAAAATCCATGACTCATCACCACAGCACTGTCTTCACTATGCCACATGGAGAAAAGCACCTGGCAAGGGCAGCACAGGACAGGACAGCAACAAACCTTACAGGGCCCCAGAACGTGCCATCTCTAAACATGTGCCCTTAGATAGGGAATTCCATGTCTGTGAACGGTGGAATTACAGGATAGATTCTCCCCCATTTCCTCCACTAGACCAGACCCGTACGGAGCATCGGGTGCTAGCTGCTTATTCTGCTCTTTCTGGCCCATACTACATTTCAGCTCTGCAAAACAGTAACAATGTTCAAGTGTGGCATTAGAGAAACACTATTTCAAGCGTTCAGAAGTATTTCTAAAGACTTTTGCCACAACTTTTGCCACCTCGTTATATCCTTCTTCTTGTCGCCAACTCAGATAATGCACATAATAGACGCAGTCAGAATTATTGTTGCATAAGCAAGCACATTTCCAACATTTGCAAGCTCCAGTGCTTGACATTTAGAGTATTGATACAGTTCTTATGCAACATGTCACTTTTTTATATTAATGTAAGACATTAGTTTGTTATAAAACAAGATCCATGCATATTCCAAAACATGTCATATCCATAAGAGTTTAAACACACTGTTTGCACTTGGACATTTTAAGCTTCAAAATAAGTTAGCCCTGCAGTCACAAGTTCCATTTTAGATTTACTTAACCACAGTCCCAGACATTTGCCAGGTCTGCTTAGAGACTTCTAGCTATACAAATGGAAAGTTAGAAAGTTGATGGTGACTATCTGGCATTTCCAAGAATTGCTGTTTACATGGCTACTAGAGGAATCAAGAAAGCTCACACAACAGTATTCTCACATTCCTTATGAAGTCAGGACCATTTAAATAAGAGTTTCATTTTATAACAAAATTTGTAGTGTAAACATCTATTTAGGTTCATTTATTTCTTCTTTTCATCAGGAGAGATAAAGAAAGTAAAACATACACATTTCAGGCGTGTTCACTGCCACACATTTATACAGAACAAAACCTAGATCACGACAAAGCTGTAAAAGTCTATTCAAGATGTCAACAGAGTCTTAATTTCCATGTTCTATTTGTACACTTCTACAGGCAACTCCATGCTCAAATATATATCAAAATATCTGCAGTTACTGGAAATGGTCACTATCTGTACTGCAAGCCCAGCGCTGTAGAGCTTTAAGCATGGATTAAGCTGCTGCAGTTGAATTGAGTTGCTGAAAAGTTTTACTGGTGGTGTATTTGAAGGACACATGTCATACCTACCCAGCTACAAGTATTTTTGGAATTTCTCCAGCAAATGCTTCTGCCATCTCCCGGCTACCCACATTAGCAATACAATGCAGAGCAAGCCCCATAAAGGTGGGGTTGCGGCTTGCCAGATCATTCTTGATCGCATTGTTTATTAAACGAATCAGCTCGCTGTTAGAGTTCACTAGTACGGAGATGAAGAGATATCCCTGTGATTCAGAAAAAGGAAAATGAAAATTGATTTTAGCTGACTTAAATTATGTTTGCTGTTAATGTCACAAATACTTTGAGACACAACAGTTCTCCTCCAAGAACAAACATATGGGCAGAAATAGATAATTAGATAGCAGAGTGAAGGCTAGAAAGATTAAGCAAAATAAACAAAAATAAGTTTAGTGTTACCCTAATTTACCAGTTTTTAAGTGTTTCATCAATCTATTTAAGCATGTACTCACAAGATCGTTTTAGATGAATAGGAGCAAATCAAGAATTTAGCTTATTATTCAGACACTAGTAAGTTACATGTACCTGAAACACAACCTTACCTAGGAAGACTTAAAGAGATATTCTGAAAATTAAAAGGTTATTTGCCTTTGAATGCAAGACTCAAGGCAGTTACTTAACAAGACTAATAATTTTATGCAGAGCACCCATTTTAGTTTTTACAATTAGCAGAAGATTTGCGGCACACAAAGGTGATTAAATTTCAGAATGACTGGTATATGCAAAGTAAGGCTTTAAGCAGTGGGGAAGGTGTGGAAACGAAGTCAAGTCCATTACAGACTATGCAGGTGAGACAGGATATTACACAGAACATTTTATCTTTTATAGAGACTGAGTTACTCACAATTTGTTTCTCTGTATATCTGTTGGAACTGAGCAGGTTTACAGCCTCCATGTGACCAAAGTCAATGTCATGCCCCAGAAGAAAGATGAAAAGCAGTTTGCAGACGTATTTTTTCTTACTGTAACCATCCAGAGCCTTGTCACCTGGAAAGGAAGGAAACAAAGAACAATTAAGCCTACATTGTTCCTATATCTGCTTCCCTTGGCTCCTCAGTTCCACTGAGGTCCCTCATCATATCTTACAGTAAGAAGACTTACAGTTGTACCTAGCAATTAAGATTGACATTTGATTCACGATGCACCACCCTACAGAAGGGGGACAAACAGAGTTCAGCTATTACAGTACCTGAATTTCACAAGTTTTAAATGTATTATTTCAGCTTTTATTCACTCTACAGTGAGCAAAATGCTAAATATATCCACTTGCCTATAACTTAAAGGACTGTAAGTCTTTACATCATTTTGTGCTTAACACATGAAAGTTATCACACACCATCAGCAGTAAATATCAGACAACCCTGAGTTTTACAAAAAGTTATTCCCAGTCATAGAATACAGGTAGCTTGTAGCTCTTCCTAACGGTCCAAGACAGAAAAATGCATAACTGAAAAAGCTGAGCTGTCACTGAATCAACAAGACATTCACATGATACTAGGTTTAAATATTTATGTAAATCTGAAATTAATATACAAGGAAAAAACCCCAAACCTGAAGATTTTACTGTTAATTTCCTTTACTGTTATCTACATCCTAAAGAACAGTCATGAGATAATGGTATCACCTAGTCCCTGATTTATCCCAGTATTTCCTTAAAGTATTTTCTTCCTAAGAGGCAGTGCATACATGTTTACTCAATTTTGATTTTCCTGTTTCTGTTAAGAGGAGTTATATATCTTCCGTACATATGTTCACTTGTTAAACCAGTATCAAACCTTTATCACAGTAAAAGGTCTCAACATACTTCCTAAAGTGCACCACAGTAGAGAACTCCACAGCAACAAAATAAAAACAGCAAGTCTTTTGGGAAAGATAAAATGAATAGAGGTATATCCCAAAGCCTTGAAAGAAACACATGAAATGAGACTACAATGACAGCTCTAAAGTTTTTGTAAAATGGAAGTATTCATAAGTGTTTCAGTTTTAGGAAAAAAATGCACCCTAAATAGGCTTGGCCTTATGTTGCAGTATTGCTGTATTTTAGAAGCTTGTAAAAGCTACACGGAACAGTACAGCACCTTACTTCTTCTCCTGAAGAAAAGGGCTACTTATGAACATACACTTTTTGCAGAACATTGTCTCCCCACCCCAAATCAGGAGATAAAGGAGTAGCCACTAGATCAGAGAAGCCTGAATGCTAGAGAGTCCAGAGTAGCAAAACGTTGACAGATGCTGCTGCCTAAAAGGCTATATAAGTTCCTTAGCCTCTGCATTCTGGGTCCAGAGTAACTAGTCTGTCACATCAGTGTGTATTCCTTAGTGATGGGCAAGTTCAGCCACAATAGCACTGCATAAAGTAAAGCTTAAATAAGATATCCCTAACTCACCGCCCTTACCGAAAAAGCTCCAAGCTGCATTTTTAAAAAAAAAAAAACCCACAACTTTAAATTTATGTAATAAGCAGATATATATATAATAATCTCAGCAGTATAAAAATTTCTCCTTCTTCCTTCTCACCCACTGGTGCAGAAGCAGTTTGGATTTCTCATGCCACGCACATCTACAGCTCCAATAGATTTCCCACTACATTCACTGACTGTATAAAACCAACAGAAACCTTACCATTATAAACTTTTGTGAAGGAATGAACACTACCATCAACGTGTGAAGCCATGTAATGTTAGTGAACCAACAGAAAGCATACCGGCACACTGAAGTAGACAATGATAAAAGGTTATGTCTACAGGCTGCAACTATACATTTTGGGGGGGTCCTTTGTATTTTTACTCTAGAAACTTCTTTTATTTACTTTTATTTCAACTGAGAAAATAAATTTAAGCACATAACTGCCATTCTAATATGGACAATGATAACCTTCAAATCTGAGTCTTTAGACACTTTTTTTTTTTTTAACTGGCACAGACAGCATATCAGTTGCCAACAAAAAGCAGCTTTACCTTAAAGCTATTTTTATGCTGCGAAAAGAAAAGTTGCCTTTAGGTCCATATCACGGAAACCAGTACATGTCACATTTTACTTGACATACATGAAGCAGCATTACTGAGGATACTCATGACCGTGAAATCCTGCTATACTGGATCCTGTTAAGGTCCTCTGACAACAGCCAGCTCTGCAGAAAGCTGCCCAAAGACATGTTTTCTTCAAGTCACATTTACAGTTTGCTGCCGTAAGGCTATTTTCCTGCTTTTGCTGCCGTAAGGCTATTTGCCTGCTGAGTCAGCAAATGAATCCATGGCAGTTTGCTTTACTAGACATCTGAATTAACATTAGAACCATCACAGCAAAACATCCAGACTAGGGGCAGAGAAAGTTTTTGGGTTTGGTTTTTGTTTGTTTTTTTCCTTCTTGGGAAGCAATATGGCCAGAAGGAAAAGTAGATATTCAGACATGTCTGTCCATCTGCTGTGGGCTTTAAACTACGGTTTGAGCAGCAAAGGAATAAAGTCTTCTGTATTTATCACAAGGGAAACAAATGCCTCCTGTTACACTATTTTCCCAATAAAATGGTACTCAAGAGCAGAACCTTCCTCCCATTCCTTAGGAGAGGGAAGAAAGAAAAGAATATAGGAAAGGGCACTGACAGTTTTAGTTTTTAAACATTTCTCAGCTGCTTAAGAAAAGTTCCTACAAGCTCTTAGGATTTGATTTTCAATTCGTCTTCTGCATAAGATCTGGAAGGAAAAGAAATAATCAGTGAATAAACCAGGGGGGCTTTATATTATTTAGCACTAAGAACGTGCCAACTTATGACAAGCCAGCTGTTTCCAGGTGACAGATTAAAGAACAAGTGATGCTAGATACCATTACCAGATACTAGTATGATTCACAGAAAGGGATACTAAATAAACTGAATCCATTTTAGCCAGTGTTCCTCTAGCGGCTGAGATCTACGTAACTGAGGACTTGCCACTGTATTCAATAGCATTCATACCATTAGTTCCTTCTCCAGCGATACAGATATGCCAGAAGGTATCAGAAAGTGGCTTTCACATGAACTTTACCATAAGTGAGAAAACCCCAACCAGTCTCTAAGACTGGAGTTCCCAGGAGCCCAAGAATCTTGGGGTATTTGAAGTATTTTTGATGGAAGCTATGCCACGCAATCAAGCTCAAAAAATATCACCGTCCTACTAACAAGGAAAAGGCAGCTTCCTTCTCCATCATGTGCTATCAAACAACAATATTGTTAAACCGGTACCTGAAACACTTTTTCTTAAGACATAAAAACATAGTTCACTGACTGCTTTCAAAAGCTTCAGTCCCTTGTATGCAGAACTGAAGGCAATGTAAAGGTTCTCAATAACAGGCAAGTTTATAAACTAAGCTAAGTAAAGTTACTAGAACTTCTCTTTAAAGTCTTATTTGTTCCCAGCAATAAAGGAACATCATTGTCTTTTTAAAATTATTTAATTAGCTGAGCAATTTGAAAAAAGAGCTTTGCAGTCAAAGGTCTCACTGTAGTTGTCTAACTCCAGCTGTGTTTTGAAGAAGCCTTTGATTCAGATTCTTATTGAAATTAAGTTTAACTATTCAAATCCTCTCCCTCCCATGTAGCATTTACAAAGTGTTATAAGGGTTCTATTTTAAATATTACTAACAAGTCTCATTGCTTAAATATGTGCTAAAATAGTACAGCTTCCCTCAGCATCAAGCAAACATCCAAACAAGAGCAGAAGGAAATCTCACATGTTCTGTTATCTTTATTGCAATACACAATCATTTCTTTTAACTCAGCTCATTTTTAAATGCTTTTGGGAATATTTGCAAGTACTGCAAATCAAGTCAGCAGAAACAGGAAGGATTCAGAACATGTCAGCAGGTTTAGAGCACTGTGGGCATTTCAAAGGCTACTTGCTTTCCCTGGAAAGTTTTAGTCATTTTTCTAAGAAAGAAATTCTTAAGAGCTGACCAGGAATTAATACTATTAAGAAAGAATTACTACTTTCATGTCTGTGCACCACCTCTCTACCACTTCAACACAGAAGTTTTGGGTTTCATTGCAGATAGATCTTTCATACAGCCTTTCAAAAAGGAAAAAAATAAGGCACAAATGCACTACGAGACTCTTTGGCTTCCAGACAGCACCTTCTGTCTCTAATTCGGACCACAAGTTAAAAACCAGCACCTGCTTTTGAATCCAATTCAGTACACTTAAAAACCAGCCTGCTGCACAATTACAGAGCCAGAGAAGGCAAGAAGGCAGTTTAGTCCTGTGGGATGTTCACTGGGGGTAGAGGATAAGGACACCTGACAAGCCTAGTCTCACTACCATCCAGATGGTCGATTGCTATTCAAAGACAAGACAGTCTTGGCTTTTAAAGCTGCAGTAATGACTTATGCAAAACACAAAGGACAACACCCTGAAGTGTGTGTTTGCATTCAGTGTGCTTCCTTCCCAGGCTGACACTGACCTATGTTCATGCAGTTCACAGCAATCCAGAGCTGTACTGTACCAGAAAGCTTACTACTAGCTTAGAGGCTAAGAAAAATGAAGTTGCTTTTTATGAATGTATCTACACTTTGAGACAAGATTTGTCTTTCCGTAAGAGTGACAGTCCAAGCCCTCTAAATGAAAGGCTGAATATTTGTGGCAGACAACCCATACAAATCCATAAGCTAGTATTTAGTCACCATACTACTACCACCAGAACAGAATATTACTACACCACAGAGTACTATCACCCTACAACTCAGGTGATATTTGAAGCCTGGTTTTACCCCCAACATTCACTTTGTCAGTGAAGACACTTTATTTTACTGTCCGATTGCCTTCATACATCTCTTCAGATGATCAGAAGCCAGTGTGACTAACCAGACCCATCTTAAATATAAAGACTACGCTTTCACAGCCTGTCAGGAAAGCATTTTACCATTACACAGCTTCTGTTTAAAACAGGTATTTAGAGGCTTATCTTGAACTTCCTGCAAAGGGTTACTGTGTGGTTTGGGGCAATAGGGAAGACTTG